TGATTGAGATTGTCGGGGCAATGTGGTGGCCGCGGGAAGCGCACCCCACTTGGACGACCACCCCAATCACGCAGACCATTCGACTCGCCTCTTTCGATCCTTCTGGAACGTTTGCCCTTCTTCTGCCCCGATCATCTACACCCCGTGCTATAAATTATCGCAACCCTTTCCTCTCACTCTCTTTGATCTCGGTTGCAAGCTGCGCAAGCTATGTGCGAAGCCCGCGGCCCCGGAAAGGCTCGACGTGCCCCGTGATGGGCGGAGTGACGGCGGGTGGCGAAGTTAGCGGTAGACTTGGGGTAAGGCAGTCGGAGGGACTGAGCGGTGGTGGAGATCAGACGCCGGCAATAGGAGGGCCTTGTGGCTATGGTTGTCGGTGGTTTTTACGGATTGGGGACTGGGCCCGGAGCAGCCAGTTGAGAGAATTTTGTATTTTTAAGACAAAGGTTTTTTCTCCATTGCTGCTTTGTCCCCAGTGAAGTGTGCAAGTTCTCCAATGAGGGGGTAGTGTGTTGTATGCCTTATCGGGTATGGAAGTCTATGGATGTTGAATGTATCGGTAAGGGCTGATGATCATAGGGTACCGAGTGTTGATTGTTGACATGAGTGCATGAATGCGTCGGTCCTTTCCGTCTCCCTTCCTTTTTGATTAATTGCCCTTAACCCACGTGAGTGTGTGTGATACGCGCCACCCTCCTTCCGCCGTCTCTCTCTCTCTTTCATCGTGCGCAAGTGCGGGACTCCAAGGGGAGGCGGATCGGACAGAACGGTCGTCCGCGTTTCCGCAACGTCTGTACCCCTCCCGGGGTGCTCGACGTTGCGTTCAGGTGGACGTTACGGGAGGGAGAGAGAGAGACGGAGAAAGGAGCTAAGCGCATCCTTGCGGCGGTATTCGTTGGTCCTTGCATGGAGTCAGGTCTCGCCTTGACTGGCGGGAGTGCGGGCCGAGGCCCGAGCTCGGACTTCGTCTCGGTGCGTTGCAGCACGCTTCCGCCATTCCTGATCGCAAATGACGACGAAATATACTGCGACGCGGACTTGCGGGGCATAATGCGGCGTACGGAGCCAAACCATCTTTACAACCCAACCCAGGTGTGTCACATAGGGTTCGTGCTAATTGAGCGATTTTCTTCCCCGCCTTTGATTTTGCCGTACACATACCTCACGGTGTTGCCCTGGTCTGCGGTGCATGCCGCGTGGCGACCTCAGTTTAATTCCCGTCGGTGCCGACAGGGGGACTCGTGCTCGTGGCGACGGTTGGTCCTTAGGTATGAAGGAGCTGTCCGCTTCCCCGAACTCTCCCGCTCCGCGGGGGCCCTCCCCGCCCATTTCAGAACCTGGGTTCCCTCGCCCCGCCCGACCCCTGGCGGCCCCGTGCCGTGCCAAGTGCACGGACTCGACGAACTGGACGTCTAAGCCTGAGCCGAACCGATTAGGGGGTTCCTACCCCCGAAGGCTGGGTGAACCTGGCGCTTTGGGGAGCAAAACTCCCTTCCCGTCGGCTTCGTTTCTCTTCTCCTTTCCCCTCTCGTTTTGTTTTCTTTCCTTTTTCCATGTGGGAACGACAATCGACCCATAGGACGCCATTGTTTGTCCCTGGCAACAACTCAAGCCCCAGCCTGGGCACCTCGGCCTGAAGCAAGAGTCCCCCGTTTCGACCGGGTGACTAAACCCCCATGGCCAAAAATCCTTGGCCACACCCCTAATAACTTTGATCGGCGTCCGAAGCACGGAACGCCGCGCGGGGCATGAGGTTTGCGCATCACATGTCGGCGGCGTTGGCGGGCGTTGGCGGACGTTGGCGGAGCTCCCGTCGAAGTGAGCCGTCGGGCAAAGTGAGGCATCGAGCGGGAGAGGTCACCGGGGAGAGGACGTGGCCGGTGGTTGCCGCCCTCAGGGATTCGAAATCGCAGCCCATCTGGGCCGTCGATCCTGGAGATCGACGGCGCAGATGGGCCCCAATTTCGAATTCTTGAAACCGGGCCTACGGGCCCTTCTTTTTAACCTCTGTTGGCCTGGACGGCCTCCTTTGGGGGGAAGAAGGCCCCCTGCGTCGAAAACGGCCGAAACCCCCCCCGCCCTTCTTAAACACTGGTCAAAGTAACAATTCGGACATCCTCTAGCCTGCAACTCCAATTTCAGCGTAAGAATGAAACAGGCCTCAGCACGAGGCATCGTAGTCAAGGCCTTTGCCCTATGTAAACATGCGGTAATGACCGACAATTTTTGTTGTTTGTCCGAGTATGAAGCAAAATCCTGCAGGTTCTGGAAAATAACAGCCTGATGCAAGATACATCTTTCATTCTTGTGTGTTGCAGCACAGAGGATTCTACAGGGATCCTGAAAAACTTCAATAACACATCCTAAAAAATCCCATGTATCGAGTTCACTTGTAAGCTCGTGAGTGAGATTCTTATCATAACAATACCTAAACTTGTCCAGCCTTCTAACTGCCATCATCCTAGCATAGTGGGACCCTATTCGAAATTTTGAAAAAACTGACACGTCATTTACTAATCTCATCCCAAACAACAGCTTGCGTTCCCGACCTAAATGGGCCAGGAACTCATGTTCATTAAATGCACATAGTAAACAAGCCAAAGCAGGGCTGGACGGTTTACCCATAGGAATCCCTACGTTCTGCTTAAGAATTACCTCCAGCGCCATAACATAAGTATTCTCAAGATCGAATCTTACCATAACCAGAAGCATGGAAAACTTAATGCGTTTGAACCCAACCGGAGCATCCTTTCCACGTCCTAGCATAGCCCCTTTACCCTACGTCTTAATGAAAACATCTGAGAAGCCTTTTTCCTCGAAGACGCAAATAATCCATTCCACAGCTTTAATGATAGATGCATGAGGTAATGCGGTAAACATCTCTTTAACGTCAAAACAAGAAGATACCACCTGCTCATCAGGGGAAAGCGATCAATTAAAGGAGTCTAGTCGACCCAGCATATCATTAGGACATCTCAAGTTAAAATGCCCTTCCTGCGGCAACTTCCACAACAGCTGGTTAATGGATTTTGACACAATTCGGCTAAGACGAACTAGTGGATCGGAATACGAGGGACAAATTGGTCGCCACTTACAAACATTCTTATGCTTGGGCAAACCATATACTCGACCCAATTTACCTTGCCGGTTAAAAACCACATGCTGCTGAAAACCAGAGACCGACAGATTCTGCTGCATGTTACACATCACTTCAGATTCCTCACTTTCAACGACTACATATCCTGCGTTCTTGAGAAACAAAGTTTCCATTCTCTGCTTGAAGACTGAAGGACAACATACATACGAATCCCCTAAATTATGATCAATGGGGCATACCACAAAGCCCTCAATTCTCTTCTTAATATCCCGTACACAAACCAACCAATTTTCTGCCAATACCTCTGGCCCCGGTCGACAATTAAAACACCCAGTCAGCTCTTCGTCAGAGATGGAAAAAATAGCAGTATCGTTCTGAATACTACCCGACCCTTCAAGAATACACCGACTCAAGGAAGACTTATTCCGTTGAAAGCCAGGAAACAGGATATTTTTACTGTTTTTAGCAAAACCAGGCACCCAATCAACCTCACTAAATCTGAAGGAAACATGGCCCTCTGTTTTCGGTAAATTCGATCGCTGACAGTTGCACAACAGAGTCCTCTGTCGGGCCAATACTCTAAAATTGTGGAGTACATCGCCAACAGACTTATTCTTACACCAAATGATTCTCAGCTTCCTACAAATAAGCCTCTTCAACGCATCTCGAATAGACGACCGTCGAACCACAGATAAACACACATTACGCACTCGTTTCTTTGATAGAGTAGCATCAAACGGAATCCTAACGGTAGCTCTAATCCTAATCCTAATGGAAAACTTATTTTTTATTACACGAGCTAAAATCACTCTAAGTTTGGCCCGACTCTCCTTCTTCACAAAACACCGAACACAGCTGTAGAGGAACACAAGCCTATCAAGCGGCTCAGAATAGAGCTTCCTGCAGGTAGGAGGGCAACTCATTAATTTTGACAGAAGACTCTTTTGTTTCTCGAATCGTGAGCAAAACCTCGTAATGGTTTCGAAAAACAGAACGACCCCTGAAACCAGAGACCTCTGACAACGTTTAAGGAGCTCGATTCTCTCACCAATACAAACCATTGAAGAACCGTAGCAACGTTTCAGAATCTTTCATTTTTCAGTCAGCAGATCGCCACCCGTGCATTCTACCGTTACCTTCCCAACTCCTTGCTGAAAACATCGATCAAGCACGCACATAAGGCTATTAGAAACGAATCCATCATCTAATCGGAAAAGAACAAATGTGCCTTGTACCGTTTTAACAGTAGGCACCACCACACCACCAGTCTTCCTTCTTCGTAATCTCTCATGCTTGCCTGGTCTCTTTGCTCTCCTCTCTCGCCTTCTTCCCCCAGTAGATATGAAATTCAGGAAGGGTTGAACACTCGAATGAAGTACGACTCGATCGACAACAACTGACTAGGGGTGGAAACCGCTATAGGGATTGCAACATATCCCACTCGTTCTTTCCCGTCTCAACCATCGATACAATCGATGGTTTCTCGCGGTGCTACCGTGCACAGAATTCAGTTGATACAAGTGTTTTTTCCACCTCAAACCCAAGGTTCGCGATGTACAGCCTACATACATATGTTTGCACCATGGTGAGACTAACACATAAACAAGCGGACCAGGACAAGTCACGAAATTATAATCAATCGAGAATAAATACCACAAAAATGGAATAAACTTTATATGCCTGGGAATCTGCCGAAGGAGAACAAGATAGATGACCGCAATACGAAAAACGCCATCAATCCTATAATCTCGCTGCAGCACCACACGATCCCGTGCATCCCTACAAGCTAGAGCTAAATCGTGTAGATCACCAACGCTCGGTGACAGACCCTAGCAGTTGGCAGTTGCATCATCTTCCTCCTCACTACGATCACTATTGTCGACCAAGTCATTAGAGGATCCTGAGTTTTCCGGCACATGATCATCTTTACTTACCTTTCTGAAGGCTCGATCAGTGTAGACCTCAGCAATGTCCGTTGCCGATGCTCTGATTGTCACATAGCTTAGTGATTCCTCCGCACATAGCAACTCTAATCTCCTTCTTCTTCAACTTCGATAGTTCAACACACACACGCTTGCCGAAATCATCACGTGTTTCATCTTTGAGCTTAACAAATTTCACTCCGCCAGGACCTTTACTGCCACTACCTCCAGCTTTCGTCGGGCTACCTGCCTTCGTCAGCCTAATACGTAGATTGGAAGGTGGGGAGATACTCTTTCGCGTGACTCTTTTCGTCTTGACGCTAGTGGGAGTTCTCATGGAGGCGCCGATCCTATTGATTCTTTCCTTGAGAGCAAGAACCTCCCTCTCCGCCATGTCCTTATCATCCCTTACCTTTCTATATGCATAAGACAGTTTAGCATAATCTCCCGCCGTAGGGGTACAAACAGCCTTCCCCTTCTCTCTCACAACCACCGGTACCGCCGTCGAGGCAGATCCACCCGTCTTGGTGATTCTCACAAGCTCGCCCACCTGTTCCTTCAGACTGATGACGTCCTGGATTAAGTGCTGATTATCCAGCCGAAAAGCATTCAATTCTTGATCATGCTGCACACCCTGCGATTGGCAGGACAATCTCTGCATATCCGCAATAGTTCTCTTCAACTTAGCAATCTCTTCATCCTTGGTGCGTATGGATTCCATCTCTGCGATCTTCTTGCCATCCGCATCAATGTCAACTGCACGCCTCCGAATTTCAGCCGTTGCAGACACAGCCGGTTGCTCCCCTTGTCCTACCTTCCTCCCAAGCACTTCTTCACAAACAACACGCATTTGCGCCTCAACTGCCTTCCCAATACTGGCTTTGAACTCCTTGTCTTTCTGATCAGCAACACGCTTTTCTTTTTCTTCTTTACGCTTCTTTTCTTCCTCCTCCTTCCTCTTAATCTCCTCCTTTTCCTTTTTGATCCTTTGTCTTTCTTCAATTTCCTCCGCCATCCAACTCCACATCCTCTCCACTTTGTTGTTTCTATCGTCCGAGTACCATGGCCGACGATAACCGCCATATCTGCCAGAACCTCCATAGGACCCGCCGTAGCCTCCAGCGTATCCACCTCCACTACTTTCAGAACCTCGATCATTTCAAACATCACTGGATGGAGCCTGATACGGGACCATAGCCCTCTGGGCTGAAGGATTTTCGGACGACGAGGCTTGGTTACCACCACCGAGTCTTGATCGTTGCTCCATATCTCTCATTCGGGTCCGGCAATCTCGTATGAAATGACCAGGCCGCTGACAATAATGACAGACCGGTCTATCCATGGCGCAAAGCTACTTGCGAGTCTGCGAAATAAATGGAAGAATACAAACAGATAGAATAGATGATAGATAGAAGATGATAGGTAGGTAGGTAGTAGATCGCACTCACACATCCGTAGTATAATCTCCATGACGGTTCATGCGTGAACTAATGAAATATTCATTAGTCAAACATTCAAACATGAGTTCAAATACAGATATTCAAACAAGAGTTCAAACCAAGAGAGTAGTATGCAAAAGCAAACTACTCAGAAGACAAGACAAAGACAAAGAACCGAGCGCAGATATATTCGAAAGATAGACATGGAAGTCCAGTGATGTCAGGCGAGAAGACCCAACACCGTGTTTCTGCCGGTCGCCTGTCCGGCTTCATCAGGGGTCACGCTACCGCTACCTTGCGCAGGATGGAAATGAACTACGGAAAAACTACCTAATATACTATACTATCCTAGTCATACCCACAACCCAGGGTATCTCGAAGGTCCTCGAGTGGACCAGAAAAACCCGTAGCCAAAGTCTAACTTCCTACATTCCACAAAACAGTCCAGGTACTACCTGCCGTAGCAGCAAATATCCAGAGTTCCTGCAACCGGTTCCCCGTTCAAATCCATGGAGAAAAACAGGCACTACTGAAAGTCATTACCAACAGGTCGTTGGTTCAAATGCTACCTGGGACTACACTACATCCGTACATAGGAAACCTGTCCAGTGATAGTAGGATCGAACCCCGAATGCCCATCGAATAATTCTGTTATCGACCAGAACGAGCTCAGTACTTCCAGCCAGTAAAACATGAAACCCAATTATCCCAGCAATTGTTCATCCGACTAGAGAAATCGCTGGGCGGCCCGGGGAGCAGCCTAGGCAAATCTTGGTTTGACAATTTAGCATCGGTTGGACTGGTGGTTTAAGCAGGCAGGCAGGCAAGGAGCGGGGGATGAAGGTGTGGGGAGGGGGGCCAGAGAAGGGTGCCAGCTTAGCAATTGCGGGAGACAGGGATTATGTTGTGTTAGAACTTAGAAATGAGTTCTTTTTTCCCTGTTTTTTCTTTGTGGTGTAATGGTGGAGTGTTCCACCTGTGGCGGCTGTCGGATCAGGGATGGAGAAGTGTGCTCTCCTGTTCGTTTTTTGCTCCGAATAGCAATTGGACAGGTGTTCAGTTGCTTTGGTCGATTCTAATATGAAATTGACACAACGATATGTCAGAGTAGGCGCGAGTTCCCTCTTACACAAATTTCTCATTTCTGGCCGTACATTAAGTGTGACCTTGCCCCAGGGTACTCCACGCTATCCCAGGGCGACCCCACCCGAGAAATTGCTGGTTCTCTACGTGGACAGATGTTTTGATGATGTTTTCTGGTTGGGGTTAAAGCACCAGTACATGCCAGCTATTGGCCACGGACCCCTTTCGGAGGCCGCCAGCTGCCGATTCATTTTATCTACGGCGCTCGGGCTCCCAAATTTTTGGAGAGTCTCAAAACAGGTTCTCCAGTTGCCTGGGGCCACGTACTGGTGGTTTAAGCCTGGCCGGAGAGCCTGACTGATCCCTGTGGGCCACAGCTGATGGTGTGAGGGACGCTGGGCCCGGTTCCCAGCCTGTAATAAAAGTTACCGACAGGAAAAAAAGGAGCAGTCTGGTCGGTCAAGTAGGACCACGCCCTGGGGCCCACGACCTCCAAATTCTACAGCTAATAATATTGGGGTGTCCAACCGGTGAAGTGGGGAGGAAGAGGTTCTTTGACTTCGATACAGAAAAAAAGAAAATGCCTGAAAAGTCTAGCTTTAGGTATCATTTCAGAAGGATTGTAGTTATCCTAAAAATTCATGAGCAGTTCTAATGATTTGTGTTTCTCATCCGAAGCCGGGTAATGGCCCCTGTACCTTAAAATTTCTGTAAATTTCATATGGGACGCTGGGCCCGGTTGTCAGCACGTGCTGCTCCTCACGAATAGATTGGAGCCTTGTCCCACAGGGGAAAAAGAAAGAAGATAGCCCAACAGACTGCAAAGGTAGAGTGACCAATCCCTAAGCGGCCAGTAGCACCTCTACAAAATTAGCGTTGAGATCAGGCAGCCAACCACTGCCTGAGTGTGTAGTCGCACCATTACCTTTTTACTAATCTGTGGATGTACTGACATCCAGATAAATTTTGATAAATCCAGGACTGGTCATCATTGCGTTCCTGTACATCCAGGAAAGTCCTTTTTTATTTAAAAAAAAAGGAAACTTCCCTCTCTGGTGCGAGCGGGCCCTGATAAGAGCAGGCACCCCTAGCAAATCCTGAGGGGGAACTCCATGGTGGGGAGCCACACCTGCTGGAAACCGGGTCTAGCGTCCCTTGAGAACAACATCATTGGTAACCGACCTCTACAACACCCTGGACTCGAAAAAAAATGGAAAAAAAAAATGAAAAAAAAAATGAAAAAAAAAAGAAAGAAAAGAGAACAACATTATTGGTAATAGTACAAGGAGATGAGAGGAACAAGATCGCCAATTACCATGTAGGCTATCCCTCTGCAAGGCTTACCTCTTCACCCAGTGCATGGACACCAGTTATGATCAATAATCTCTAGTAACTATGCCTTGCACGGAGGAGGGTTCAAGGTTGTGCAAGCATTCCAACTCACCTCGAAAGCATAGTCTGTATGAGCACAGGGGTCTGTACTCTGGGACACAAGGGCTTAGGGGCTGGGATTCCTAAAGGAGGTGGACGGATATTGCCACCCTTGTCATCAATCAACAATCCATTCAACAAAATCCAAGAACGAGCAGGGGTGGTATGTGCTGACATGTACAGTCAAAAGTCGCGGCTGTGACAGTCTACAAAATGTGAGGGTTCTGCGCTGAGGCAATCAAGGGCAATCAAGAGTTTAGGGTTTAGGGGTTTAGATTCCAAAGGCAGGAGGATGAATGTGGCCACCCTCGACATCGACCAGCATACAATGAATGAAGGGGGGAGTAGCTAGCGTCTCATTGAATATTAGTGGTGGTCGACATATTAGTGGCGGTCTGTCGACAGACTGAAGAGGTGATCCCCCTGCATGCTTCAATTGGTCCCTGTTTTTCAATGTACAATTGTATAAAGGAACGCTGGGCCCATTTCCCAGCAGCTGGAGCTCCCCACCAATGGATGGAGCCTCCTCCGAGAAAGCTTGATGTGTCTGCTCCTACCAGCACCTCAAGCTCATCCCGGAGTTGTTTGACCAAAAAAAAAAAAAAAAAAGACCAATTCAGAAAAGACAGTTGGATGGTGGCTAGCAGATTCGGAGCCCCCTCGGGCGTCGAAAGAAACTCAACAATTACACTGGATGAGACCTGAGGAATCACTAAGATTTTTGGGAATACAACAACGACAACGACAACGACAACGACAACGACAACAACATCGACACCGGTGATATTGGAGGCCGCGAAGACAACGAGGATCACAAAGCCAATACCGATCATTGATTGCGGTGCCTGCAGTGTTGGCGGCGGCTAACAACAACAACAACATCATCATCAACAACAACAACAACAACGACAACAACAATAACGACAACGGCAACAATAACAACACCAACGACAACAACAACGGCCACAGTGACAACAACAATGGCAACAGCATCAACAACAACAACTACTTCGTCGTCAGCATGGTGAGTGAGAGGCCGGGATCTGACGTAGACAGGGGGAAGGGGATTGGGGCTGAAACAAAGTGTTGTTATATCTTTCCCCCCTCCAATCCTGATATGGGATTGCTTCTTGTGGTCCGGCTCAGGGCGGGGGTAGGATAGTTGAAGTTGATTGAAATTGCCCGACCCGCAATTTCAATCAAGAAGGTCGGTGTCATGATGGAAATATGGTTGAGATGGTTGTTAACATGGTCAGTGTCTCCCCCTCGGATGACATGTTTTCATTGATAAACATAACATAGACAAGTTTTGGTGATGGTCCCCAACGGGGAGGTGGGTAGTTTAGGGTTTCGTGGTTTGCTTTGACTTCCTTGTTTGGGGATCGTTGAAGATGCATTTTATTAAGACAATACTTCATGAGGGGAGGCACATCCTTCTGTAAGGAAGCAATCAATGCAGCCCACTCGGGCCTCCCAACCATCATGGGGAGGAGCGTGTGTGTGTACTATGTATGTTTCTCCACCGGACTGTCGCYCCCCAGAATGGCAGGAGCCGGAACCGCAAGGTTCTGATCTTTCAAAAAAAAAAAAAAAAAAAAAAAAAAAAAAAAAAAGCTGGAGGTCAATCCTTCCCTTACGCAGGGAAGTAATCAATGCCTCGGCTCTTTTCTGAGATGTAGGTGCAAACACATAATAGGGAGGCTGGTCCCGAATCCCAGCTCATACACATCACATCAGTGTTACGACTTCGTATCACGGTAGAATGATATTTTCTCGTATCACTGAATAGGGACGCTGGACCCAATTTCCAGCTGATACACATCATATCTTGCACAGGGACGCTGGACCCGATTTCCAGCAGGTGCAGCTCCCCACCAATAGATGGAGTCTTCCACGCAGGGGCCTGGACCCACTAGCAAGGTATTCTACCACTGCCGTTCAGGATTTCGATCACGTGTGGCATCGAGTGACTCAGTACGGCCGTCGAATAGATCGGATCTCAACGGCCTGGTAGTTTCCGAGCGGGGACTGTAAAGATGCCCGCCTCCCGTCCAATGAGATGCGTCGAAAAAAAAACAAAAAACGAAGTTGGACTAAGGGGCTCGTTAGACAC